TTATCAGAAAGATAACCACCTTGCCCTCCCATCTCATTAAAAATAAGAGCTTTTGAACTGCACAAGCAAGAATGGTACAGGCAGCAGTTTCAGTCACTTCATAACTCTACCTTACCTCTCTGGACAGCACACCTCCTTTCAGCTTGATTTTTTAAAAGTGTATTTATAATTAGCACTGTGTATTTACATGATTGCATATCACAACAAAGAACAAGTAATAGAACAGAAGCCTCCAGAGAACTCAGATTTCCCAATCTGAAACCTACAGCATTATTATTTAGCTGTTAAGTTTACCATGTGCCCTCATGTAACATTCTGGAGAAGCTGTCTTCCAGCTGACAGGCTTAGTCAACAAACATCATCTTACTTGAGAATAGCTGAGGTTGGAAGGGATCTCTGGAGGGTATCTGGTCCCACCTCCCCACTCAAGGAGGGTAATTTTAAACAAGCTGTCCACTCCCAGTCACTACCAAGGAGGAAGACTCCACAATCTCTGTAGGCAGCCAGCTCCAGTGCTTGGCCACTCTCACAAAAACCAATGCTTTATGATGTTCAGGTGCAGCTTCCTTCCTGTGTTTCAGTGTATGCCCACTGCCTTTGTGCCTGCCACTGGGAATCACTGAAAAGAGCCTGCCTCTGTCTTCCTGGCATCCTCCCTCCAGGTATTTTGCAAAATTCCCTCTCTTGCCCAGCCCAGCTGCCTCGTCCTTTGTTCAGATGAGAACTCTCCAGTCCCTTAAGCATCTTTGTGGTCTCTCACTGGACCCTCTCCAACAATGCTCCTGTCTCTTTCATACTGGGGAGTCCAAAACTGAACAAAGAACTCAGGGGTGGCCTCACCCCAGTGCTGAGCAGAGAGAAAGGATCACCTGCATAGGATTAGGACATTATTGGATGAAATACACTATTTTAACAAGTATCCTAAATGAGTGCTGGCAGTAAGACAATACTGTGACATCTCAGGCTGAAATTAAAGAAAACATGAACCCTGAATAGAGCGAAAAGAATTACAAAATTTTCCTTATTTGACTGGGTAGAATTTACCTTCCCATGGAAATAAAACTTACTATAGACTCCAGAGCACTATGTAATGATTACCTTCAAACTGAAAGAAAAAAAAATACTCTGAACACCTTTAAAGAGTACAATATTGGAAATTAAGTGCCAAAATTCCAAGTGCTCAAGCAATTTATAGCTAATTTAACTTGGAAACAAAGCCAACTACTTCCAAAAGACAGGATTTGTTCTTAATTTCTCTGCATTAACCACAATGAAAAGACTCACCTTAAAGCCTTGCTGTAAAATTATACAAGTTGCACTTAAAATCTTTAAAAAAAATAAATTTCTCTTTTCAATATTTTTGTTCTACATAGTACAAAAATATAAATACAAAGCTAAAGAATAATAAGAATAATTTTCAATGTGTTTGTTCTTAAAGTACCAGTTAATTAAACACCACAGCATCTTCTAAAAGCCTGAACAGCAAGCTAATATGCCAGAGAAGTGCTACTATAAAGCATGTATGGTCAGCAAGTGGAAAACCTTTCTTTCTCAGAGTTGTCACTGTGCATCTAAAATAATCAGCCAACTCAGAAATTCTCCTTATTGAAATAATTAATAGCTTCTTAGAAGAATATAGACAGATTATACCATTTTGTAAACAAAACTTGAGAATACAATGTAACACTATATATAGTTATCAGAACAAAATGACACACTAAAAAACCCCAGTAAGATGCAGATTCTGCTCCCAGTTGTATTCCCTGACCTTAAGAAACTTCCCTCTCCATGCTCAGCAAACATTCCTATTATATAAAATTTCCAAATGTTTTGCAAAGCTCTCTTAAGAGCATTACAGAAATTCTTTTTTACTTTTATATGCACCTTTTTCTAAAATCAAAATATGCCTTTTTAAAATGTTAAACTACTGCCAAACTACTTATAAAGAGATGTTAAAAATACCAGTCTTCAACAAATTGCTATTTGGAAAGAAATCTGGTAATATATTTTCTGCAAAAATAATAGAAACTGGATCCTCATTTGAAAGTTTTCCAGCCTTCCTCACATATGTAAAGACTCATGTGTGTTACAAAGAGCCCCCATCATTCCATCCAATTCTACACAGTTTTTCACCATTTGATAGGAGGTGAAATAGGCTGTATAACATCATTAATTTTGTGAATTTGAACAGTCTAAAGCTGTTCTTTGAGAGTGAAATTCCTCAAATATTTACCAGGACAATTCACAGTAAACCAAATCAGGTCAAATGCTTTCTTGAGAACACCAGGAATTCTGAAGCCAGATATGCAGCCTCCAAAGAGTCAGTAGCTTCCCTGGGCAATTTTTCAGGCAATCAAAATGTCTTACATGTCAAAAAAAATTTTTTTTTTTCATATATATCAGTTGTAGACTTACATTAGAGATATTGTCTCCTTTGTTCATTTTTTCTGCTATGTCTCTATCTCCAAAGACTATTTGTATTAGTCCACACTGGTTACATAAAACAGTGATGGAGGACCTCAGTGATGAACAGACTTCAAAATGCCCTTCACATCTCTGAAATCGCTGCTGTCTTTTCTGAGACATGGGATGCTGTCAAAAACAGGCTTCAGATAAAATATGATTCATTTGACACTATTAATATATGTTTTAATCTCAGCCACATTGTTCATCAATGGTTCCTGAGCATTACTGCTTATCCATTCTCCCTAGCAGACCTCCCACTGCAGTGTTCTATGCCTTCACACATCTAGCTATAGGAGTGACAATCTCCTGCCCTGCATGAAACTAAAATTAAGAACTCTGGAGATCACCTGGTAGCTACAGTACTAACGTGGCTGAGTCAATGAAGGCAATTCATACAACAAAGAATTTGCACTCATGCTCCCGTGATCCTGGGTTGTAACAAGCACAGTGTGCACTCAAGGGAAAACTGCTCAAGACAAAGGCATTATTATCCTAACTGAAGGACTTACCCACTTAAAACATAGTCCAACAAACACCTATGGTCTGGTAATGAAAAGCTACACTTCAGAAGCCATAATAGTAGTCATCAACAAGTTATGCAATAGAAAAACAGCTTGTCAGTGTGACTCACACGTAGGCTGATCATAAAAAAAAGAAGCAAGCCTTTTACAGCATGAGGTGTGTGGCAACTGCAGCTAAGGATCACCACCTGGTGATTCTTACTCACAAACTACTCTGAATTCCTTACACTTTGCTATACCTCCAGGTTTAGATCAGCAAGAATGGTCCAAATTTTACTACTTTTTCATGAGACCAAGAAAATTGCCATTCTCTACTAACTGAGAATTTATAATCTCTCAATCTACAATCTGACCAAACAACCTCAGAAAGGCAAATACTAATTTTCAATCCCCCCCTCCAATTCCAGACTTGATCTATAAGAGCTTTCGTTAATTATTTCTTCTAGCCAGTTCTTCACTGTTAGCTGTGCTCAGTAATTTTGCATTTCTTGGTAAATTCAACTTTATTCTATGCATTAAATCCATCTCAAAGGTATTTTGCTACAGTAATCTGTAGTAAAAATTAAGAAGTGTTGACAACCATGCTGTTCACTGTCCACCCTACAAAAACATTTAGAAAAGCAAACTGTTCTATATATTCTCACTCAAAATGTTTGCAAACAAATTAGTAGAGCCTTTTCAAATCCACAATTCAATTTTGTTCTTCAGGAAGCAGCCCTAACCAAGCAGGGTCAAGGAGGTCCAATATTCCAGACACAACTTCCTAGCAAAAGCACCTCTGCAGTAATCACTAACAGGCACAACTTTCACAGAAGGATTTGCCACTTCAGACACCCAGATTGTGACAGGGCTCTATACGGAGCACATACAACAAATAGTGATACAGCTCAACACTGCATCACTCATGTATAATAACCAGCTGCTCATTACTTTATTAGAGTGGATTCCATCTAGCCATCATTAATATTCAAAGTAAAATTCTAGCTTGGGTGGTCTACCTACAGAATGGATGATCTACCCACAGAATGGCACATAATTCAGCTACAACTACTTCCTACAATGAGGACAGGTGAATGACAGATTTCTTTTTGGTTTTATAAGTGAACTGAACTCAGATTTCAATTTAAAAGTAAGTTTATCTGATGTAAATACTAAGTGCTATTGTCCTGGACATTCTTCAGTAACAGAGTCAGTGCTTGTCTGCATCTGACCTGAAGCATTCCTGCTTTGCTAAACCCATTTTTTGGCATAAAACTTATCAGAGTGCAGGAAAGAAAAAGAATAATGGAGGCTGTACAATGTTTTTGCTATGCGAGTTAGAAGGTCAGACTCAGAGAAACGTCTGGCAATAGTAATAGAAAATTGCCATTGCCAGGACAAAAAGGGGCAACAAATCTCACAGTCAACCAGTAGTGGAGAAGATAAGACCACAAACAGCAATTCCCATAGTGTAAGTTGCTACAGACCCAAAAGCCTAAGCAAGATCTTAGTTTGTCTCACTTACCTGTAACATTCAATCCATTTAAATTTACTCAATTTTTAAAACCCATTTAAAATGTATTTTGAAAAATATGTAATAATTTGGTAATTTTCAAATATTAGCAGCAAGTCTTCTTTTTCCTTATATTCAATCTTATGTTTTAACATCTAAAATCATCCTGTGACACCGTAAGATATTCCATTCTTTGAAAGGAAACTCACAAAGTCATGCCCTACTTCAAAGATGCCCTTGTTACTCTTCCATGTGTTGATGACAAAATCACTTGGAATCCATACCACTAAGATGAAGAAATTCCTTAAAATAATTTTTAAGTTGTTATCCAGTGAAATATTAATACTCCAACAGCATACAATAATGCTGATGCTCATTACTACTTGTCCACTTTTAGTTTACTACATGATTTGCAGATCTGTTTTTCTTTCTTAACATAAATCACAGCAACCAAATGCCATATAAATAACTGCTGTCAGACACAAGAACAGGCAGGACCACATCATCATCATCATCTTTACCTCTTTAATTTTGTTCCTCCTCTCTCGGATATCCGGGTCTGCTGGTTCTCCGCTGTGTATCCCTATCAGGTTTGGTAAAGGAACAGGGGGCAGTGGCTTGCTGTCTTTCTTTTTCAATTCTTGCATTACTTTGTTCTTTTCTGTCTGAATCTCAGCTTGAATCTCATCCCGTGATTTCTTCAATTTCTCCTTAGCCTCTTCCAGAGCCTTTTCATGATCTGCTCGGATCTTATTTCTCAGACGTTCCTCTTCTTCTCTAGAGACACAAATGCCAGTCAGCATCTCATTACTAAAAAAATATTGGTTACAAACAAACTGCAGCTTCAACAGAAGCCACATCCTAACCTGGTTTTCTCTAAGCAATTCTAATGATTTAGACAAGTTTATTGATTTATGTTAGTACACAATCCTACACTATTTTTGCCAAGAACCCCAAAAGAACACCACACACATCCACAACACTATTGTAGAAAAATTTATCATAGGAATTTTTTAGATTGTCTTAGCACCTTTGCTTGTCCACTCAAGAGTTTAGAGAGTTGTACTTCAACTACAGGATGTGTGCAGAGGCATATCTAGCAATAATTCAAAAATTTTTTTTTAAGAAATCAGAAGGGCTCTTCTTCACTTTCTCCACAATAAATAAATCGTACACAACTTGACAAGATTGGAAGTAACCACTACAAAAAAACTCCACAACCACTTTGTTTATTACCAACCCCCACCACAGCATGTTTTCCCTTCAATTCATAACTCATTGTTCCAATCAGTAAAGTCCTTAAACCATCAGTCCTAAAAGCAGAATTAATTATAAAGCCATTTAGGCGCATAAGAGCTTTTAGTAAAACATTATTTTGAAATTCACTTTCAACAAGACCAACGTGATCTTGATTTTAAGCAGTACCTTACAGTGTGATCTTTAATGATCAGTCAAGGTTTTAAGATTTGCACATAGAATGAAGAGTTCTAAAGCTTGGCTTAAAGAGGTTATTTTAACAACAGACAAAAATGGCCCGTTCCAGTCCTAAAATATTTCAAGGCATCAGAAAGACACACATCAGACTCTCAATATAGCACCACCTTTACAAGATTCTTCAAAAAACAGAGTTGCTCAATGACTAATGCAAGCCAAAAAAAGTTGTAGGCATTTTAAAACAAGCATTAGGTAAAAAAAAATGCATTGTTACACAAAGGGTACTTTATTAGCTCTTACATTTTTCCAAAGTGCTATTAGGTTTGCATTTAAAATAAATTATAGCAGCATTATTACCTTCAATATATCAGTACTAAGAATACAAAGCAACATTTTAATAGATGCACTGATGGAAACACTTTCAAACTGAAGTTCTTCAGCCACTTTTCTCAATATGATTCACACCACATCCATATTTCTTCCAAACAATAAAAAAATAAAGGATTGAGCTCCTCAATTTGACTGTGAAATCCAAGATCATTAATAACTATCTAAAGGTACCAGTGCCTCTTTCCCTTAACTGAGAAGCAAAGAAAAAACTTCCAAAGCAGCAAAACATTATTCTAAAAAGAGAAAATAAGTAATACCATTTAGGATAACTTTTACTTCTACTGTGGCCCACTTATATGAGAAAAAAACTTCCTTGTATTCCTGCAAAAGCTACTCACACTCTGTCATGGCAGCAATATCATGCTCAAATAGCAATAACAAAAAACAGAAAAAATTTCTACCACTTGGAAGATCTGAAGCTCTGGAAAGCTTTTCCAAGGCTAGCAGAGGGCTCTGCATAAAATGCAACTAGAGAGAATGAGAATGAGGTCGCCAGAACAAGACGTCACTCTCACAGTCATGCTCTCCCTGAGAGACAGTAAAGGAGCCAAAGAGGTGCTTGACAGAGAATGAGAAATCTGAAATGTTACTGAACGGTTAAGAGTCAAAATATTTCAGTGTGGGAATAATGTATTTTGCAGGTACATTTCCCATATTCAAAATTCAGTATCTTTAGGCAAGTGACAGTATTTACTCTCTGACTAAATTCACAAATATTTTGCTGATAGGTATTGAAATTCTTTTTGCAAAGGATCAATCATCATTGAAATAACTGCATTTTTATGAGGGAAAAGGTAATAGTGTATCTCAGACCTTAACAAAAAGCTGGTCAAGGTATCTTTACATTAACCTAATTGCTTATTGATAAATAGAAATATGTTTGGTAAAACACATGGTTAACTTGGAAGTGCCTAAATACAATCCCCCTGTGTGAAAAAGAATTATGAAGTTTGAGTAGTTACAGTGAATCTGATTCACTGAAATGAGTCACTGCCGATGTGCTTTGTGCACCTTAACTTTGCACCACCAATATCAAGTGCCAGGAAGATTTTGCTTTTACCTTTTTTTAAGTTTTCCGTTCCAGGTGCCACATGTAATAATCATAATACAAGCTCCATCACTCTACAAACTTCATCTGTTTCTAGATTCAAAGTGCATGAAACAGCCATAAATTGGAAAACAAGTTTTGAACTCACATCTGTCTACGCTGCAGGAACCACTGTATAAACATACAAAAGCTGTTCATTTCTAGAGCACAATAATCCAATTAGAGCCATTAAGAAAGTTTGAATGGCACAGTCTGATTTCCTTCAGTCACTCAGAAGAAAATAAACAGACTCAATAGAGATGAAAAATCCCAATGCTAACTTTATGATCAACTCAAAGCCTTTCTTCCAGGAAGTGACATTTTGAGATAAACAAACAGTAAGATGAAGAGAAAGGTCAACAGGTATTTGAGGGAGTTTACAGGAGATAGCACAAGAGCTTCTTCTGCAGACACATATTCTCTGTGCAATTACCAATGATGGACAGCATGAGCTACATGACACCTCATATTCTACATGCCAGCTGAAGACATATTTTTAAATGCATTCAAGTATAAGACTCTGATAGAAGAAAAATCACACCCCTAAATAACAATGCCACGTTTCATTTGAGCTCTTAAGCAAACAAGAATTCAGTGAAATTACAGAATAAAGTTCAGAGAATGAGAAGACGGATTATGTGTGAGCAGCTGACACCTCCTCAAGTCACCAAGCTTCCTGGCCAGCAGAGGAAGGCGTAAGCAACAATTTAATACATGCAGAGAGCACTATATTAAAATACTCAGAGACCTCAGAAGGATCAATTTAAAAATATAAGATTGGAGAGAATCCCAGCATAAACACGTATACCAAAACCTGTCAAACTGCTTCCATATCCCACCCCCGCTTCCAAGCAACATAAGTAAACCCTTAAAATTTAAAGTATTTTGAGTAAATCTTCAAAACCTTATCTAAGAGAAAGCTACTTACTTCTAGGCATCCCTAAAGCTTATTCAAGAGTCTCAAGAGATGTTCAAGTACCATGAAACTACAGCAGTAGCTACTTTAAAACAACCAATGTTATTAAAATAATCTGTGATTAGACTGTTTTTGCCAAGAAGGACCATAAATAGATTTAATAATTAGAATCTGAAACTAGAAACAGGTGCAAGTTCTTTAAACAATCACTGCCATGAGCTATTGCAGCTGCCTATGCAGGAACACTGTATGCTCTCAAAGTGTCCACGAGCTGCCTAAATATCATTCAGAGAAGACCACAAATTATAACGCTTGACACCCAAATCACCAACTGGAACTTAATGTGCTTTAATTATGCGCACAATAGCGAGCCTTCTGAACAGCTCCCAAGCCTCACTTGTCAAGACAATGACTTTTAACAAAAGTCTTCCCTATCTGCTGTGACATAACAGGCTCTTTAGAAAGCAAACTGAAAAAAAAACCCTCTAAAAATTTGTTCAAATTTCTTTGTGAGATTCAAAATTTAAAAGAGAGAAATAAAAATTAGAACAGAGTCAAGAAAAGCAAGCAGGCCACCAGCAACTGTTCTTGCCACGAAAAAGTAGGCCACTGGCTTACTATACAGAAAGGACACAGTTTATTATCATTTGGATTTTCAGCAGATGGATAGACAACTGTTAGAGGACACAAATATTTGTGTAAGCCTATCATTCAGAAATAACCTTCTGTGTGGAAATTGCGAACTTTTACCCTTTGGTCACGTCTGATCTTCAACCAGAGGCTACTTTCAGAGACAGTGAAAGAAAAAAAGCAGGCACTAATTAAAACAAAGTTTGAGAGTCAGCATCTAAAAAGCATTTCACACACTAACTGCAAGACTTCATTCCAGTCCTTCAGCATACACTGTTTTATACTATCCTCATGTATCACAACCCCATTACCTTCCCTCAGTATATGGTGAATATACATTCATGGCATACATGAGGCATGGAGATACACATCCTGCCCCTCACATGATTGGAGTCTGAAAGAGGAAGAACTGGAAGAACAGAGCAGTTGTGCTGGGTTTTGTTCTTGCTGGATTACCCCTACTGTATGGATGGCTGTATTACTGTCAACACAGAAAAAGAGGCCTGATTATTTTTCTCTAATATTTGGTTTTCATCATGATCATCTTGCAGAAGTGACCACTTTCTCCCACTTTGCTGGGCTGCTCTGAGACATCAGAGGTAGGCTCATGAAGGAGTACCAGAGCTGTATGTGTCTGTGACAGCTGAAGAGGGAAGCTCCACCATTAACACAGAGGCTGTTCCTCAGCAAGAGTTTTCTCTTTCAAGGCAAGTCAAGGTTGTATTTATTAGACCGAATTTTTTTTTCTTCAGGTAATGAACTGAGTCAGAGATCACTGGTTAGAAAGGAATATTTTTTTTGGAAAAAAAATGAATTCTACAGGCATGGAGGTAACTTTGGTGCATCAAAAATACTGTCAAAGTATTGGTTATAAAGATTTTCAAAAGTGACTTTAAGAAGAATCTTATTCATGTTTTCAACCAAATGTTTTGTCCCCAAAACACTGTTTCTAAATATATTTTCACCTTGCAGATGGACACAGCCTAAAACTCTAGCATGCAGAGTAAATAGATGATAACTTAGTAGGAAAAAGCTTTTGTTATTTAAAAAAAACTAAGTCAAACTGTCCTTTGTCAATGTTCTAAACTACTTTAAGAACATTATGCTCTTTTAGTTATCTGCAAGCACTCTACCTGCTCACTGTTTTACTTAAAACAGCAATACCTACATGTGCTATATACACACACTATACAGTTACTTGTGCATCTATGTGGTGGCCTGGGAATGAAATGCTGAAATGCAGAATATTCCCCATTTCAACCTTTCTTCCCCAAGGGAGTTAATAACACTTCATTATGACATCAGAAGAGAACATACCTA